GTCAGGGTCGCTCAGTCTGCTGCCAGACCGCAGCTCCGTGTGTCTCCTTTTTTGGTATTTTCACGCAAATTCTTCTGCTAGTTGGGGTTTAGTCCACTTTTGTATCTTTCCCTTCAAGGCTCAGGGGTCCAAGATTATCTCCTGTGTCTGTGATCATTGGTTTCCCTTTTCTTTGTTGAAGAGCGTCTGTGCAGTCTTTGTGCCTAGTCTGCCATCTTGCCCTGTATCGAGATCACGTAATTTTATTCCACCTTGAGGGCTAGAAAATAACATTTAACAGAATTTTGGGGAGAAATAAATAAATCAATAGCTGTAGTGGGCGATTTTAATGTATTGCTTTTCAGAAAATTAAATATGGGCAATATTTGAGTAAAACAATGAACAAGCTTGATCTAATAATTATACAGTGCTTCTCCCTCATAGAGTATATTCATTCATTTTTAGCACACATAGAACTTTTGCAAAACTCTAACATATTTGGCCGCAAAAATTTTAAAATACATTCTAGACAGTCATGATCATTTATATTATATTCTGTGACCATAGTGCTTAAAAAAGGTAAAATAATCAAGAATTAGAGGACAACTAGAAAAATTCGCATTTGGAGACTGAAAACTGGACCCAGCGAAACTGAAAGGAAGAAAATAATAAAAATTGAGTGATATTGAGAGGGCACTTCATAGCTTGGAATGCATTAATATAAAAACATGAAAGCCAAAAATCAAATGTACCAAGTATTCAATTTAAGAAGCTGGAAAAGGAGTCAGAGAGTGAAAATAAAGAAATTTGAGGAAGTAAACAAGGATAAGAGCAGGTATGAGTTAATAAAGAGAAAAGAAGTAGATAAAAACTGGCATTACCAAAGGTAAAACTAACCCTGCCTAGAGTGGTCAGAAAAGATTTCATAGAAGATGTAAATATTTGACCTCATTGCCCAGAAAAGTTCTTTCAGAAGGAGGGAATACCAGAACTCTAGACTCATGGAAAGCACTTTGCAGGCTAAAGAATCATGATAAATCATGACTGGAGCATAGAATGGAAAGTTGTGACATGAGGCTGGAAAGGTTAGTTGGGGACAGAGTAGGAGGACATTTGTATTCTACTGCCAGTAACTTTGACTTTGTTCTTTGGTATATAAGTAACCATTCAAATGTTTTAAGAGCTGTGACCACCCAGTGTTAATAGGAGAATATTTGGCAACAGTGTAGATGATGACTTAGAATTGGTGAGCCAGTGAGCTCTGTGCAATGAGTTTAAAAAAAAAATATTACAGAAGGAGAGAACAAAGGGGTTGAGATCTTGAACCAAACCATGCCTTTCCTTGCTTCTCTGCTTTTCTTTTGATGGATTATGATGGTAAATTTAGCCCTTAGGAAAACTAATACCTACCCACATAATTTTTTTGTTTTGCCTTGTCGTAGAATGTACTTAGAAAAATGCAGAAGTGTTTGGCTCTGGGGAAAGGCCAGTTAATTCCAAAGCACCTATCTTACAGGTCTTTTTGTCCTAAAAGAAGAAGTGGTGAAATTACATATGCTTTCATTTCACTCTGGGAGGGAAATCAGGAAGGGGAATTCAGTCTAGTGAATTTACTTAAGTTTTTGGTTCTAGAACAGTTACTGGGAAAGCAGCTTTATGAAAGCCCTTAAATGTGAACTTAAAGGATAAGAGAGCATCAGTTCTAGAGAAAATTGCTGTGGTCTTCATTACTACTGAAGAATGCCTCTCACTGTTTTCTTCTCTGCAGATGGACTGGATAGGAATGAGCTGCTGCCACTGTCCCCTCTTGCTCCAACCATGGAGGAGGAACCACATGTTTTATTTGTGTCTGGTGATGATGACCCAGAAAAAATTGAAGAAAGAAAAAAATCAGAGGAACTAAGGAGTCTGTGGAGAAAAGCTATACACCAACAAATCTTGTTGCTACGAATGGAAAAAGAAAACCAGAAACTTGAAGGTTAGCTGTTTAAACAGGTCTGAATGTTACAGTGCTATAATTTACGGGAGTATGTTAAACTTAATCTCACCTGACTCCAAACACACATATTTACACTCACTCTCAGACTGTATACAAATTTTGATTCAAATAACCACTGATTATAGTTGTTTATTTCCATTGTGTGAGGTGGTTAAGACACGGGAAAGGTCAACTTGAGATATTTACATTTTTGTTTTATAGATTTAAAACATTAGAATCTATTTGGATGGAATAGAATATACATAAAATGGAAGGAACATATTTGATAAGACAATGATATTTAATATGACATTTAATATATTTAATGTCATTGTGCATTATTTTTTTAAAAAAAAAAACCTTAAATATGAAAAGGAAGATTATCTCTTTAAAATATAATTCTCCATTTTAAATCTGGTTCTCAATTTTCAGGCTTATTAAATTCATAGTAGAAGAAATATTCCTATTTTAAAATATTCTTTCATAGATCCAATACAAATATAAAATTACCTGTTATCAAATCGTAGTTGCTATTTTTTTGTTACTGGTTTATGAATCATCTATTTCTAAAAAAGCAATATCATATGCAAATCATTAAATGCATAATTAAGTAATTTATAATAGCTATTGTGCTATTTGTGTTATGTTACTGCTAAATTTGCAAATACCAAGTGCATTAGAATGTGCTTTTCAGACTTTGAAAGAGTGATGCAGTCATGCAAGTACTGCTGGAACCACACACAGGGAGATGCTCAGATAGTGCCAATTTCCAAAAAATGCCATCAACTCAGGCAAGTCACTTAACCTTAAATCATGTTGTTCTTTTTACGCCTGTAAAAGGAAAGATTTAGTTCAAGTGGGCCCTTTGATCTTTAAGATTATTGACAAATATACAGGGTATATTTTCTTTTGACTTTTATTGTATTGTCTTCAAAATAAATTTTTTAGTACAAGCATTCACATTTCTGTGTTTATTATCTATCTTAAGATTCCTCTTACCACGTCCAATATAGTCAATTCAATTTTTTTAATCAATATTTATTTCTCATATATTAATATTGAAGGGCACAATTTATTTTTTATTGCTCTTTTCTTGGTAGAATGAAAGTGCATAAGATTTTTTATATTCCTAGGAAATAAATATACTTTTCTTGTATTTAAAATTATGCCAAATGCAATGAATCGTTATTGGCATAGATTTAAAAGTTCCATGTGTTGTATGGAATGCCCACTCTAGTATTAATAAATTTTGAAAGAATTGAATTCCTATTTTTAAGCATTTGGTTACATCTTGAACTAACTCATAAATGGGAAAGAGTTGAAAAAAACACTATCATTTCCTTAAAGAATTTAAAGCATAAAATTATATTTCATTAATAGTTGGGAGTATGTACAACTAGAATATTATATATAATATCAAAGGGTAATTTCAGAATCAGACTGTTTGAACTAGAAATGACTTTAGAGATTATTTAACTTAATCTTTTATTCTGTAGTTGTGTTAGTGATGGGTTGGGGAGGCTAAATAATTACTTAAGATCAAATAATGTATTTGCAGAACAAGGACTAAAACTCAAGTTTATTTATCATGTTTCTTGGGCTTTTCTCAATATGCCCAACTGTGCATGTTAATGTATGGAAATGGAATGTTTTGATATAAACGAAGACCTGTGTATTCTGTGCACGTTTTTAATGTATAATTTAACAGATAGTAAAGGAGGTTACATTTAGAATATATTCTCAGAAACCTTTCTCAGCTCAGTATTATTATTATTGTACTTATGTAACCCAATCCAAACCCACTGCCATCAAGTTGGTTCCAACTCGTAGGAACCCTATAGGACAGAGTAGAACTGCCCCTAGGATTTCTAAGGCGCTAATTCTCTTTGGAAGCAGACTGCCTCATCTTTCTCCCATGGAGTGGCTGGTGGGTTCAAACCACTGATCTTTTGATTAGCAATCAAACTCTGTAACCACTGCTACACCAGACCTCCTTGTAATTAGGTAAAAAAGGCAAAAAAAGAAGTTTAACCCAATAAGATTCTAGCCAATGAATAAATCATTTCTCAATGGTACTTTCTTCTTCCTAATTAACCAGTTGAGGGCATGTGTTAACTCACTATTTAATCCTTACGGTCTGTAACTAACATTTACTATTTATTTTAAAGAATAAAAATTTGATTAAGTTGGAGAAAAAAAACTGAAGAAATATTATGCTGTATCTATATTGAAGGAAATCATTAGTAAAGTTAGAACAAGACTGTATGTATTATTGGCTTTAAAAAAATATGTGTTCCTTTTCTAAAATTACTTGGTTATTACAGAGAAATGCCAAGCAAAGCCTGAGAAGCAAAGCTCAACTGTGTTAGACGGCCCTCTAGTGGCACCCAGGAGGAATGTTTCTTTAGTGTCATTTATCTGGATTTTTAAATAGGAATTTTTATTTCCCTGTTATATTTTAATTACTTTGAAATAGTTTCAAATATACTGAATGAAGAGTAACATTTCTTTTGCCATTGTTTTTATGCTGTCGAGGACTTTTGGATGTATGATAGAGATTTGTTTTGCAGAAGGTAAGGTCGAACAGCAAGAGCTTATATAATACAAATAACTGAGACAGCCCTGTCCAGAGGGATTCTGATGTAGGAGAAGAAACATACTTGCATGTTTATTGTTTCTTCTCCCCATTTGGAATCAATTACTCAAAATAAAGACCAAATCAGAATTAAAAAAAAAACAAACCAGTTGCTGCTGTTGAGTTAATTCTAACTCACGGTGACCCCTGTGTGTCAGAGTAGCACAGTGTTCTGTAAAGTTTCCAGTGGCTGATTTTGGGGAGGAGATCACCAGGCCTTTCTTCCACGATGCTTCTGGGTGGACACCAACCTCCAACTTTTCAGGTAGCAGCCAAGCACATTAACTGTTTACACCAGCATAAGCATTTCTTTGGATAAGCTTTGGGCCTGTATTTTAGGCCATCATATGAGACAATTCTATATCATTTAAAAGATGGAAATAGCATTAACTTCAGTGAATTGAATTTTTCTCTTTAAGATTATTAAGTAGGAGCACAGGAACAGCTACTTAGTATTGTTTGGGAAGTGCTGGTAACTATGGAAATAGTGATAAAAAAAAAGGTTATTGGAGCCAAATATTTTTCAAATCAAGGTTTACAGGAGGCATTTTTTCTCTCAGGTGTCATATAAACATCTGTTTAATATTTTGCAGGGTGTAGCTTCTGAAGCGATCTATCTCATTTGTTAAAAACTTGGAATTCATAGTATAACAAAACTATAGTTTGTTTTTTATGGTTAGCAGAGTACCATCTGTAAGATACAGAGTAAAATAACTTTAGGAATGTTCTGATCTTTTCTTTTATGAAATGACTCAAAAGTTTGAGACCGTTTCAGATATCCTTTCTCTCTCGGTTTTTTGTTTTTCTCCAAAAGTAGTTCTTTATTGAGTAAATGTTAGTGGTTGATTCTTAAAAGTAATTTGGTATGTCTCTATAAATGTATAGAATGTTAAAAATAGTTGTAAAAGCACAGAGGTCCTATGTAAATTTTCTTATTTATTATTATTATTATTATTTTTTATAGCAAGCAGAGATGAACTCCAGTCCAGAAAAGTCAAATTAGACTATGAAGAATTTGGTGTATGTCAGAAGGAAGGCTTCTTAATCTGGGATAAAAAGTTGTTAAACTGCAGATCTAAAATCAGATGTGATATGGAAGACATTCATCTTTCTCTTAAAGAAGGTATTCTAAATTTCTCAGTAGTCTTTATTTTTCTTTCTTTGGAAAAACCCCAGAGGTTTTTGATTTCTGAAGCTCAGACATAATTTTGTCTTTGTGCTTTACCTATGTAACAGAGGAAAGTAACTTTTTCTGTCTGCAGAAATGACTTGATTTTTAAGAAAATGGTGTTAATAGAGATACTGACCTGAGGACGTAGCTGACACCTTTTCTACAAATTCTCTTTCCTATATCAAGCAGCTGCTTTCAGCTAAGGGGTGGTGTTTACTAAGGATGGGGTGCATGGATGAGTACAATCTTTGATGATTTCCATAAAAATGATCCAGAGTAACAAATTTGACCATTTCCATAATTTTATCAGAAGTATTTATTTATGTTCATATTTCTGTATATGTGGATACTCAACCACATATATATGTTTATGTACAGGTAGTCCCTGGGTTATGAATGAGATCTGTTCCTAAGTGTGTCTTTAAGTCAAATTGATAGGTAATTCAGAAGAGGTGCAAAAAAAAAACATTAATTAATTAGCCCACCAGCCACTCCTTGGAAGGAAGTTTGGGCAGTCTACTTCCATACTGATACTGCCTCGGAAACTCAAGGAGGGGTCGCTATGAGTCGGGGACGACTCAACGGCACTGGATTTAGTGCAAGGAAAGGAGTTCTGGTAGCGCAGTGCCTAAAGCATCTAACTCCTAACCAGAAGGTTGTTAGTTCAAACCCACCAGCCACTCCGTGGAAGCAGGACTGGGCAATCTACTTCCATAAAGATTTAGCACCTCAGAAACCCATTGGGGGTCCCTATGAGTTGTAATAAACTCGATGGCATTGGGTTTTGTTTTTTGGTTTTAGTGCAAGGAAAGGATCTCTCATGGTGCAGAAGTTAAAGCATTCAGCTACTAATCAAAATGTCAGTGGTTCAAACCTATGAACTCTTAGACAGGAGAAAGATGAGGTAGTCTACTTCCATAAAGATTGCAGTTAGGCAACCCTATGAGCACTTCTACTCTAAGGTTGCTATGAGTCAGAATTTGACTTGGCAGAAATGGGTTTTTGGGTATCATCATTTGTAATTTAGTATATATGTATATATTCATTTAATGTTTTTCTTGACTTACCACCTAATGCCTAAGACAGCAGCTTGCACACATTATTTACTGGGTGAATGAATGAATGCTTGAATGACACTAATTTTCCTGAGACTGGAGACTTCTGTATTCATCTCTCCTCAATAGAGTATTCTGAAAATCATACTCTGTACTCTGGTACATAGGGGATAACTCAGTAAATGCTTAACTGAAGGAAATAGCTTTTTATAACTGTTATGGATGGATAATAAAACACAATTCATGTTATCTGTGGATATCTTTTTTTTTAAATTTTATTTTATTTATTGTGATTTGGGTGAAGATTTACAGAACGAATTCACTTTCCATACAGCAGTTCACATATACTTTGTCTCATGTCATTGATCACAGTTTACAATGAAACAGCTCCCCTCCCACTTCTTCCCCATAGTTACCTCTTCCCAGGGACCATGCCTCCATACTCTCCTGTGCCCTGAGCTGTCTCCCTATGCATAAGCAGCCCTTCCTTCTCCCATGATTGTTCTCTCCAGGGCGTGTGTCTACTTGAGGTAAATGTTTAACTCACATGCCTGTACATTGTTT